GCTGTATCTATCTTGTTTGATTGTTCCTGTAGCGCTTTTCTGACTACTTCCTTATTTTTCTCAACTCCATTGTAAAGTGTTTTGAGACATTTTATAATCATTTTTCTGAATTCTTTCTCAGGTATCACCAAGGCCTGTCCTCCTTCCAGCATGGAGATAAGGTCTACTTCTGGTTCATTTGTCTCAGATATTTTATCTTTTTCTGGACATGTGCTGATATGGTCATCTGCTTTTGCTTCTTGGACATGTTTAATGTTTATCTGTGGCCCTAATAATTAATTAAGTATGTGTTTTGGTAATTTTTTTATGTTTTCTGATTACCTCCAGGAAGATGTGCTCAGGATGTGGTCTTCCCTTGTCACTCTCCTTATTGCTTAACTCAGAGTAACTTTTTTGGGCCTCAGTTGGGCCTGGGCCTCGGTGGTGGGCCATTTGGGCCTTGGGCTGGTGGGTTGAGCCTAGGGCAGGCGGCTTGGGCCTCTGGGGGCCTGGGCATCAGCGACCAGGCTGCAGGAGGGTTGGTCCTCGGGTGGGTGGTTTGGGCCTCAGGGGGTCTGGTTATCAGCACCTGGGCATTGGGCGGCTTGGGCCTCAGCAGGTGGATTGGGCCTCAGGGGCCCTGAACCTCGGCAGCGACTGTGCCTTGGTTGGGCCCCAGGGGCCTTTGTGACCAGTCTGTGGGCAGGTTGGGACTCAGGGCAGGCCTTGGCCCCAGTGGGAGTGTCTGGGTCTTGGGAGGGCCTTGGCCTCAGTGGGCACGCCTGTGCCTTGGGCGTTCCTGAGCCCCAGCGGCTTGGCAGAGGGCTGTTCTAGGCCGGGGCAGTATAGGGCTGGGGGTAATGGCTGCAGGGAGGTAGTGTCTGTATTTGATGATGTAAAAGATGCCTCTCTCAGTCTCTCTGTAATGTGGGTACCCCGAATTTCCTGATATCCGCACTGATATCCCTCTCTATTTGTTCGGCTTTGTTAGTTTATGCTTCCTTTTCTCTGGAAATGCAGCCTTCTAAGTGGGGTTACTCTAGCCCTGCATTCCAAGGTCTGCAGGGGCAGAGGCACTCGCCAGCACGGGCGCAGATGCAGGAGCCACGTGCAGGCAGGCAAAAGCTAAAAAATGCCTGTAATTCCTCAGCAATTTGATCTTTTAAAAAACAAGTTCAGAATGTTGAAATATAAGATCTTATGTTTGTTCAAAGGCTGTCTGTCTGCTAGACAGAGGTTTCCTATGTCCAATTCCACCCATTTTCCCCGGAACCCTACCTGAGCTGCCTGGTCTAAGAAGCACCGTGAAGATTCTGAGCTACTCTTAACAGTTCATCAATGGGTTCTTCACTCCATCCCTCAATCTTTTTGTCTTTTAAGGGGGGAACATCTTCTGAACTGATTCCACTCTCCCTACTGACCAACTAAGAGAATAGGCTCTCTCCTTCTGAGAAGGCCGAGTTCTATTGTTTACAGGAAGGACTAGGGCCTGGCCAACCCAGTCCTCATTGGAACCAAATTGAGGCCAGAACACAGATGGTAAATGGGTCGGTTCTTTTGGCCAAATAAAACAACAATATTTTTATCTTTTTTCCGAGTTGGGGATTGTCCCCTCAAGCCCTCAACATTCTCCCCAAAGGACTAACAGGAAGAATTTCTGTGGGAGTCTCTCCTGCCCACTTCTTCCCTAGGCCTAGAATTCCTTTCCCCATTTTCTTTTGGTCTAGGTGTCTGAGTTCCCTTGCATATTCAACCTTCCAAAATCTCCCCATGTTTGCTTACTCATGGAGATTTCTTGCATACAACCCCAAGATTTCACTTTCACTGGATTGGGGCTCTGAACTCGCTTCGCATCCAAGATGCATCTCAGACACACAATGACCCCCAAAATTGCCTGACCACCAGGGCAATACTTACAGTCCAATTTTCCTGCCCTGGCCTGTGCACAGATTGCCTGGTCGACGCAATTACTCTCTTCTCAGTCCTCCACATCTTTCTCACTAATTCTGTCACCTTTGAACAGTCTCAGGTCTTTTTCTGGCTCTCACTGGGAGGCAATCAAACATGTGGAGTAGGCCGCCAAAACCAAGGTGGGACGTGTCTCCTTTTCCACCAGGGCTGCCGCTCCAAGCAGGCAGAAAATCCCGTACAAGCCCCCAAATTTGTGAGAAATGTTGTCTATACTGGCAAACGCTCAAGTAATCCAATCTGCAGTAATTTTAGTGAGAGTGAGGTTTTCTTTATTCGATTTTGAAAAACCGGGTGCCCAGCCCCAAAACATGGGCAGACACGCCACGTGGCCTGCCACAAATAATTTTTATACATGTCTCCAAAAAGCCCCTCCTTCAGTTCCAGTTCCCCATATACATTTCTATGGCATGTCCCATTTTCCCTCCTCCCAGAGAAGCCAAAATGGCTTGCCCATTATCTTAATGGCTGTATTTCCTAGTCCTAGAACAACCAGGATACATAGCCCTCCTTGTATGTAAATCAGCAATCTGTTTTTCAGGCCTAGCAATCGCATGAATTCCTGAAGATGGACCATGCCCACAAGAGTTATTTCTCACACTAGTAAGATCAGTTCTTGTGCTGCATGAGTGAGACCACTATGTTCATCTCTAGCGGAGCCTTAAACAAAATTGACCTCATATTGCAGAAAGTTTAAGCTCAGAGCTTATAAAAAGCAGGGCAGGAGAGAAGACTTACCTGGAACTTTCTTTATATGTGCCTTTCTTTATATTTTCTTATATATGTGATAGTATTGTGTTAAAAAAAAACAAAAAAAAAAACTGATGCCACCAAGTGACTAAAATAAAAATCCTTGTCTCAATCACAATTGGCAACTCTAAACAATGACCTTCAATATTTCATGGAAAAATAGACACACAAATGTTTACTTGAAACCAAATATAAGCTCGTATATTTTAATGAATTGAAGGAAGATAGGTAAAGAAGCTAAGCCTCAAAGAGAATTCCTGTATCTTCTATATATTTCTCTCTAAACATTTCTCATTGTAACTGTCATGATTCTTTCTCATCTTGAAATTAGCACTTACGGCTACTTTTGTGATCTTTTAATTCCTGATGGAATGACTTCCAGTGAAATTGCATTGGTGGAATTAACTCCAAAGATATTATTCCCAATGGTATCTCTTTCTCAAGAGAAAACATGTGGTTAACCAATATTCACAGTACACTCAGAAGAATGTGTTTTGGAAGAAATTTTCTTGACCGTGTGAAAAAGTTTAAAAGTAATAAAGTCATCTATGGTGGGAATAGAATACACTTTCGTTGTAGTTGTTCTTTCTTCTATATCTATCCCACGATTTGGTGGCTTTGTGGTAAAAATATGTGCTGATATGGGAATACAGCATGTCACCTTATTCTTACAAAGAAGCTTGTATCTTTCATTTTTGAAACATCGCTTCCTGCAGTGTCCTACGTCATCTTTCCAGCATCTTTGAGTTTCCCAGCCAGCTGTAGGGAATAAACAAGCAGACTAGTTGTAACTGTAGCAACAATATAACAAACATTTTATTCATTCAAAACTTTGGCAGCTACTCCCTGATGTGGTATTGTAGAGTAAGCACTGGATCACAAGGTCAGTTTGAACCACAAGGTCGACCTTTCAAATCCGCCGGCCAGACGCTCCTTGGAAACCCTATGCAGGGTTAATGTGAGTCAGAACCAACTGGATGGCACTTAACAACAACACCCACCATCTTGTCTAATGAAATAACAAATAATACAGAAAACAAGAAAAACAGATCTTTAATAAAAATTGTTACAAATTCCATTAAAAAATTGGGAAGAGAGATGGACAGAGGGGAGAGGTGGTGGAGAAAGGAAAAGGGAGAAAGAGAAAAGACAGAGAGGAAAAGAGAGGGACAAGGCAAACATACTTACAGCTGATACTTAAGCCAAGGCAAGAAGGATGAAAAGAAGACAGCAAAGTACAGAGGAAGTGAAGACTGTTTCAGGAAAGGGAGCAGGAGGAAATGCTCAGTCCCACGCTTGAGAAACTGTTAATCTGTGTAAGGGACTTGAGGAAGGCTGATGAGTCTGTAGTGTCATGTGCAAAAAGCATGACATATGATGAGCATGAACTAGCAGGACCAGGTCTCCCAGTCCCTTTAAAACAACATCCCCCCACTCCTACCTCCCAGAAGCCCAATGTGAGTTTCTTGTCTTATGTTTTAGAAGTTGAATCAGAATTCCATGTGGAAATTAGACTAGGGACAGGGAAGAGTGAATTCAGGATGAAATGTTAGAGGCGTTTGTCAGGAAAAACATGATGGTGGTCGGGACTAGGGCTGTGAGAGTTACTATGGAAAGAAAATGATAAATTTGAAAAGAGCCATCAATTGTTTGGATATAAGGTCAGCAGAAAGATTGAGAAATGAAAGTAGACCAAGATTTCCGAATTCAAGTAAAGGTAGTTAGTAAGGTCCTTGGATGATACAGTTTGTGCCTGGCTACTAACCTAATGGAGTCATAGTGTGGCGCTGTGGGTTAATGCGCCAGACTGCAAAGCATTTGAACTGCAAGGTAGGCAGTTCAGGCTCACCAGGCGCTCCTCGGAAACCCTATACAGGGTCGCTATGGGTTGGAACTGACTCGATGGCACTTCACAACAACTAACCTAATGGTTGGTGATTTGAACTTACCCAGTAGTACCATGGAAGAAAGATCTGGAAATCTGCTTCTGTTAAAACTTACAGTCAAGACAACCCAATGGAACTAGTACCCTGTAATTCATTGGGTCACCCTGAGTTGGAACTGTCCAGTTTTTTAATTAGTGATACTTCCCTTTGTTGCTGTTGAGTCTATTCCAACCTGACTTGATCCTGTATAGCGTTTCTGAGGAGCAGCTGGTAGGTTTGAACCACTGACCTTGCAGTTAGAAGTCCAGTGCATAGCCTACAACACTATACCAGGATTCCATTCTTCTCTTGCAGCATGGTAAAACTAAAGAAAGAGCAAGATTTGAGGAGAAAAAAAAGGTAGGCTCAAGTATTTGCTTTGTGGTTGTCATAGCAAGATTTATTTTCTCGCAGTTTGTTGCTCCTATTACGTACTGTTGAATTGGTTCCAACTCATAGTGACCCTATGTCAACAAAACAAAATATTGCCTAGTCCACCTTATCTTCATAATCATTGCTATTCTTGAGTGGATCCATAGCACTGAGCCAATCCATCTCATTGAGGGACTTCCTGTTTTATCATCTCAAAGTTTAGGAGGAAAAAGCAGACCTTGAACAAGAATTTAGCGGAGAGGCATTAGTTTAGCTCAAAGGCAATCCCCACAAAACACAAGTGGGGAAGTGAGACAGGGAAGCCAGAAAGCATTCTGGATACTGCAGGTTGCAGGTCAGTTTGGTATGTATGAGAAAGGTTGAGTGACAAAAAAGATAAAGGAAAGTTGTCTCAGACATGACTGGATTAACTAAGAGAGAATGTTTCTTAAAGGGAGTTGTGGCCATTTTTAGTCAAATAATGCTGACAGGCTGAGTAAGAAAAGGGCAGAAAAGTGTCCTTTGTATTTAACAATAGGAATGTTACTGGCAACTTTTAGAAGAGCAGTTTCAGAAAGGTAGAAAGAGAAGGACCTAAATTAAGTTTGTTGAAGTGTGGATGATAAAAGAGGAAGTAGCACCTAAAGAAAAGACTCTTAAGAAGTGTTAGCTGTAAAAAGAACACAGAAATTGAGAAGTTGTGGGGGGACAATATGAGGTCAGAGAGGGCTTCCAAGTTGCTTTACAAACATATCAAATGCCAATCTCACCTTCAAACACACAAAAATAAACTACAGACAGATTAAATAATAAAAGATTGGTTGTCCAGCATTAGTTGTTACTGTTAAGTGCCAAGTCGGTTCTGGCTAATAGTGAACCTACATAGGATTTCTGAGACGTGGCTAGTGAGCTTGAACCACCGACCTTGCAATTCAAACTGACTTTGCAGTCCAGTGCATTAACCCACACACCACACCAGGACTCCATATTTAGGTAGGAGAGTACTTTACTTTTCCTTAAACCATTATAAACTTATCAAGTGCTTAATTTTCTTAATCAGTTGCAATTATTATTTTTCAATAAAAAAAATTTTCAGAAGTGGCATTTAAAAGAGGTAATGGTCTTATTCATGTTTATCTAAAATTGGAAACTTCTCAATGATCACTGGTCTTTCTTCTCTGCCTTCACTTCACTTCTCACCTGAGCCCCAAACTTGTTATGTTCTCTCTTCCACATGAGAGCACTATTGAATTTACAGTGTCAGTGGACTGGTTCACTATACCTAGCACATGAGAATAAGACTTTCTCACTGAAGGGACTTTAGGATCAAGAAGAAATCCAGCTGATAGCAAGAACTGAACTAATAGGACACAACGATAAAACAGGTGTTGTTGTTGTTGTTGTTAAGTGCGTCTGAATCAGTTCTGACCCATAGCAACCCTGATAGGGTTTCCGAGAAGCAGCTGGTGAACTTGAACTGCCGACCTTGCAGTTCAAAAGGCTTTACAGTCTGGCGCATTAAACCACAACGCCACACAGGTGGTGTTAGTTAAAATAGAAATGAAATGAGGCAGAGCTGGGCGGAATTGCTGGCTAACATCTGGATTAGTGCTCTCTTTATCTCTATCAATCAATCAATCAATCTATCTATCTATCTATCTATCTATCTATCTATCTATCTAAGGACCTCTGGTAGCATAGTGGTTATGAATCCGGCTGCAAACCGCAAGGTCAGCAGTTCGAAACTACCAGCTGTTCCGCTGGAGACAGATGAGGCTTTCTGCTCCTGTAAAGGTTTACAGCCTCAGAAACCCTGTACAGGGTCACTATGAGTCGGAACCGACTCCATGGCTCATAACAACAACAACATCTAGCTGTCTATCTATAAAGAGAAAGGGCTACTCAAGGCATTGAATACACTTTTGCTTCAGAGGATGTCACAGCTTACTAGGTCCCCCTACCATAGGGGTGGTGGATCTTTTTTCTGCCAATGGCCATTTGAATATTTATAACATAATTCATGGGTCATATAAAATTATCAGCTTAAAAATGAACCATTTGGATGGCTAGAGCTGTGGTTGCCAGACCAAATGATTTCAAGAGCCTTGCTTGCCCCATGGGCTGGCTATTCCCTCTCCTTCCCTAACAGAGTCTCAGAAAGTTGGGGTATGAAATTACCCAAATGTGACTATTTTTGCCTCTCTTTATTGGCTCAAGGAGTCCCTAGGCGGTGCACGGTTAACATTCTTGGTTACTAACCAAAAGTTTGGAGTTTTGAATCCACCCACAGGTGCTTTGGAAGAAAGGTCTAGCAATCTACATCTGAAAAATGCCAGCCATTGAAAATCCTATGGAGTACACATTTACTCTGACACACATGGGGTTACCTGGCTCTGGTTATTGGTTCAAAGTTGTTCCTGTGGGTACTCTTTCCCCTCCATCTATCTAGAGAGCCCAAGGGCAAACTAATTGATTCCAATTCCATCATCCTTAATTTACAGAATCCCATTACCTTTGGCCATCAGAGCTAGAGACCCACAGATAGTGAAGGCTAGCATCAGGGGATTCATGACTCCTGGGAGGGCAGAGACTCTGTGTCCTGACAAGTCCAGAATATTTTGTACAGCAGGACTCCAAGTGATCACCTTTATTGGCCTGTCCTGGCTGATGAACCAAAGAGAGGGAGAATGCTATGCCACCTAGAACACCAGATCATTAACTTGTAGCACTGACTGTGCACAACACAACAATGACCTCTTGCAGAAACTACTGGAGGGAACTGAGGCCTTAAAAGATGAATTCTAAACCTGTAGAAGGAAAAGGATGGATTGTTGGACACAAGCAACTCTTAAAAAGGAAGTCTTCTCTTCCTTAATCCTGTTGTTGTTAGGTGCTAGCCAGTTGATTCCAACTCATAGCGAACCTGTGTACAAAAGAACAAAACACTGGCCAGACCTATGCCATTTTCACAATTATTCCTATGTTTGAATCCATTGTTGTAGACACTGTGATAATCTATCTCATTGAGGGGCTTCTTCTTTTTCACTGACACTTTACTTTATGAAACATCTCCAGGGACCAGTCCCTTCTGATAAGCCTAGAAAGATCAATTGCTTCTCTGTGCTTACGTAGCACCTCGTACACATCCAATGAAAGCAGAATGTGGCAGGCCAATAGCTTATGACATCCGTATTCTTCTTTCCTTCTGAGTGATCACCCTAATACTAATTCCTGTGAAACAAAGAAGTCACTTTAGCTAAGCTCCCATTACGCCATTGATTATGAGACAGAAGAGATTTAGAATGGAAAGTAAAAAATAGGACAGAAGGTCTTATTGGTGCTCTCCCTTACCTCAGTCCACTTTCCCATCGACTCTCCCAAAGCAAAATATAGGGAGAGACATTTTAAAAGCAAACAAAGAGAGTGAGACACTGTGTAAAATTATGACAACGCCCCTTCCCCCCTCCTTCACCAAAGTAACAGAAACAAGAGCAATTTGTGAACTGCCCAGCAGTGGTGCTCAGAACTTCATCCCCTGGATATGTCTGCTGAGCTGTAGTCCTCAGATGTGTGTAAGTCACACTGCATACTAAAGACTGAAAATTAGCAGAATGGTGAATCTTAGCAGGAGAATGTACCGAATATCTCCTCACAAATGTATAGTGTTGCTGAATTTTCTCTAAAGTGCAAGAAATCTTAAAGTTTCCCATTTGTGTGAACTGAAGAAGTAGAAGGTAGAAAAGGAAAACCTAGGAACTTTATTAAGACATTTCCATGGAGATGAGAGAAGTGACTTTGCAGTTGAATGATGTTAAAGTCAGAGGTCATAAAACAGGTGGCACAATATAACTGTTATAATAGAATCAAGGTGTCAAGAAAATGCATGGTAGCATGTAGGTACCCAAGACTAGCCAAGCATGACCTAATTGAGCTAGCATTAGGTATCAACCATTCTAATGAGAGAAGTCATCAATAACAAGGGCCACAGTACCTTCCGTGGACTAGCTCAGGCAAGACAGTGCTGGATATCCCCATTTATGTACATTCTCCACCCTGTCTGACAAGATGAGAGAGAAAGAAGGTCTAAGTAGTGTTTGTTAAATATTACTGAGGGAAAAAAATCTTAGTGTACACTCTTACCACACACAAATGGATTTGAATGATAGTACTTGAAATTTTTAATGTAAATATAGGCTCCAGACTCCCCTCCCTACCCCCCCCCCCCAAAAAAAAAGATTCTGTTGTATAAGGGTGAGTCAAACATTATCTATACTCTGGCTATAGAGTTTATTTTAATTAACTTTTAGAAAAGACAAATACATCATTTTTCAAAATAATCTCTTGCTTTTCAATATACTTTGTCCTGTTAACAAACTTTTGTAGTCCCTTATTTTAAAATGTTTTAGGCTGAGCTGCGAACCATGAATGCACTGCTGTCTTCACTTCATCAGAAGTGAATCTTGGTCCTTGAAGAATTGCTTTCAGGGTACTAAGCAGGCGAAAGTCCCATAGAGCAAGAACAGGAGTATAAGGAGGATGTTTTAACACCTCAAAATGAAGATTTTGCAGTGTCAGTAGTGTGGGCAGAGGTGTGAGAATGTGCATTGTCATGCAAGATCACAATGCCTTTGGATAGCAGTACTCTATGTTTAATCCAAAGTTTAGGCTTCAACCTTTAGTGAGCATCTAACTGTAATGAGCACTATTGATTATTGAACCTTTTCCTGATAGTGTTCCAATTCTTGTCCTTGAGAATCCCAGAAAACTGTAAGCATTAATTTTCTAGCTGATGGTTGACTTTTGAACCTTTTCTTGGCTGGTGATTAAGGATGTTTCTATTCCATATTCTATTGTTTACTCTCAGGCTCCTAATGATGAATCTATGTTCTGTCACCAGTAACAATTTCTTTTGAAAAGTTTTTATTGTGATTTGAGTGGTAGTTTACATGGGTTAACATTGGTTTTACACTCATCGTTTCACTGAAATTATTACAATCTCCTCCATGCATCATCAGTCAACAGTATTTTCTTCTAGTCTCTCTGGTTTTGGTTTTTGTTTTGAGATGTACACAAAAACACTCAGGAATATATAATCATTTAAACAATCAAAGGGCACATTCTGCAAGCCTGCCTCCTGGCTGCCAGCACACAGCCTCTCTTTTTCCATGAATCTAGAGTCCTCAGCTGCTCTCTCTCTCTCCATGTCCTCATCTCTGCCTCCATCTCTGTTGTCACTGTTTCTTTTGATAGGGTCCCACATTCCACTTGTACTCATCTCCCTTGATGGTCCTAAGATCCTGTGTTTCTGGACTGTAAGATTAACTACTCCTCTCTTTTTTAAGCAACAATTTTTTAAAAGAAACTTTTATTTTCCTTTGAGTATTGGTCCAAATTTTGTTTGCAGATGTCCACTTTCACACCTGCACAGCAGTGACCTTGAACAGAAAGCACTGATAAGACAGTGCAGCCAACAGAAGTTTTAACATAACTGGAGTGTAGATAATTTTTGACTCATCCTCATAAAATAAATTTTAGGGCCATTTTGGTTAAAGCTTTTTTTTTTTTTTTTTACTATCACTGCACCTTTCTTTATTAGAATTTTGTGTGTGTGTGTGTACTGAAAATTTTAAATCTTATAACTCATCTTACTAGCCTGTATTATCCATAGCTCCTACTCTGTGCACTCAAATAAAATCAGAGAAACATATTAAACATTACTAAAAAAGTTTTTATTGTGTATTGTTTACATATAATAATGACTGTTGTTGTTAAGTGCTGTTGAGTAAGTTCTGACTCATAGTGACCCTTTATAGGCTTTCCTAGGTGGATTTGAACTGCCGACCTTGTGGTTCAAACCAATCTTGCAATCCAGTGTTTCTTACAGTGCCATATTGTTGTTGTTGTTGTTAAGTGGCGTCAAGCTGATTCCAACCCATAGTGCCACATTGTTGTTGTTGTTAAGTGCCGTCTAGTAGGTTCCGACCCAGAGCGACCCTGTATAGGGTTTCTGAGGCTGTAAATCTTTACAGGAGCAGAACGCCTCATCTTTCTCCCGCATAGCCTCTGGTAGTTTCGAACTGCTGGCCTTAAGGTTCGCAGCCCAATTCATAACCACTGCGCTACCAGAGCTCCTTATAGTGCTACATTAGGACCCCATAAAGTTGAGGACTGTTGGAGACTGTTGGAATTTTTATCAGGATTACATAGACCCTATAGATTGCTTTGGGCAGATTGACACTTTAACAATATTAAGTCTTCCAATCAATGAACAGCTCGATTTGGGAGCAGACTGCCAGGTCTTTCTTCCAAGACACCTTTGGGTGGAACCACCAACCTTTTGATTAGCAGTTGAGTGTTTAACTGTGCATGTCACCCAGAGATTCCTCCTTTTACTTTTGTTGTTGTTGGCCACCCAGTTGGTTCCAACTCATAGTAAGGCTATAAATCTTTTTATTATTATTATTTTAAATGTTTTATTGTGAATTATGTGCTAGTTTACATGGGAGAACATTAGTTTTACATTCATCCTATAGTATATCGCTTCATTGCCATGATTACAATCCCCTCCATGCATCATCAACCAACCAAAGGGTATACCCTGCAAGCCTGCCCCCAGGTAGTCAGCACACAGCCCCTCTCCCTCTCTGTGTCTAAAGTCCCCAGCTGCTCCATTTCTCCACATCATCGTCTCTGCCTCCATCTCTGGCATCACTGTTTCTCTGGGTAGGGTCCTGCTCTCCGCTCTTCTCCCTTGATGGGCCCAGGGACCTCCGCTCCCGGACTGCAAAGTTAATTACTCCCCTCCTTGCTACAAAATATCTACCTTTTCATTTCCAACCCTCACAAGCAGTCCTGATAACAATTATTCACTATGGCATCACAAGAGACCTATCCGCATTTCTTTTCATCAGCCCCGCGCCCAGACAGATTGGATGCTACTCAGTGGAGATTCTACCTTTCTCCAAACCCTCTGGATCTCGGGAGGCTATAAATCTTTACAAGAGCAAAAAGCTTCATCGTTTTTCCATTGAGTGTCTGGTGGATTCAAACCAACCACTGACCTTGCAGTTAGCAACCCAACATGTAACCTACTAAACCACCAGAGCTCCTTCAATAATATTGCATATATATAAATAATATATATATGTCAGCTTGAGGACTAAGGCCTGACCCAAGCCATGGTATTTTCAATAACCTCATATGGATGCGAAAGCTGGACAGTGTATAAGGAAGATCATAGAAGAATTGATGCCTTTGAGTTGTGGT